GCAGAGGAAGATATTTGCAGTCAGCCCTGAACTTGGGCCAGCATCTTTATTAACTTTTCACATTAAAAATATTGATATTCAAAAAAAAAAGGTGTTTTTTAAGTAACTGTTGTTGGAGCACAGAGACAGAGCTGCAGACCGGAAGTGTGTTGATGCTCTGTAGGAAACTGACAAACGAGTGAGTATTATAACAATTCAACATTATTTCAGCTGTTAGGGGAAGAAACCGTTTTTCATCTTTAACCACATTTTTACATGGTGCTTCCAAAACTGACAAAGTTGCAAGTGTGGGGGGAGATGCCTAATTCCTAGCATTTGGAAGTTGAGGCAGGCAGACTGGGTGTTTGGCCAGCCTGAGCTATAAGCAAGACCCTGCCTCAAGTAACCACAAAGTAAGGCAGATGAAAAGTTGAATGTGGACTTCTTCACTTAGCTGCTATTCACATTTTAGAGGAGAAAGTGGGCCCGGATGGCCTAACTGCATCTTCCAGCCCCGCTGAGTTTATCTATTACTCTTCCTATTACCCATTTCTCGGCCTTGAGGCTTTGGCTTCATTTTATGCCTTTTTTTCATTCAAAGCTTATCTATGCTATTGTGAGGATTTCTCGAGGTTGCTGTGTTGGAGGGTCCCATCCAAGCAATCATCAGTGTTTAGAAGTTGCTCAGTGATAGCATTTATCAGAGTACAAGAGCCAGGATTGGTGATAGAGACCACTTCCAACCTCTTTATTTTACTTGTAGAACAAAGCCCCAAAGACCACAGAGAGGATGGCATGCCTATATTCTCGAGACGGGGTCCACAAGTCCATTCATGACAAAACCGGGATGATTCTATCTCCATCCCAGAGGCTCCCCTGCTGAATGCAGTCCTGCCTTCACAGCCAAAGTCAAGAGGGAAGGCGAGGTTAGGACTGGACAAAGCCAGCTCCTGCCCTGACATTGAAAAAACAGAAAGATCCTGTTGGCTGCAAATTCTAAAGTGAGCTTCTCAGTCTACTGTAATGCTCACGTTCTTTGGTATGTGATGAAAGTAACCCAAGACCCCTGAACCCCGGGTCCTCATATCCCCAATCACCCAGCTACCTCATGCTTAATAGTCCTGTTTTTGGTGCACTAGGAGAGCCAAATGTCACCCTGCTTCTCAGAGACAGTTGGGCTTAAAAATTTCCAGACACAGGTGGCTGACTCAGCCCTCGCTTTGCTGTGGCAATGGTGATCAGGCATCAGCTGTTGGCTCGGATGATGTGTTCCCAGAGCAACATGGTGAGTGTGAGCTGCCAGCACTGGAGGCTCAGGGAATGCAGTGTGTTGAGCCAGTTAAACACCCCAACGGAGGCTCAGGGAGTGCAGTGTGTTGAGCCAGTTAAACACCCCAAACTGCCCTCTCTCAGAAATAAGGGTGACTCATGGGAGTGCTCCGTGACTGGGAGAGGCACCAGGGAAGCCACTGGGCCCAGAAACCTGCACGCAGAGGGCCCCAGATTCCCTGCCCCTAACTCCAACCCACAGCCTCTTCTCTACCTGAAAATGAACACAGTCTCCATTCCTGAACCCTGCCCTCTCTCTCCAGGAAGCACACCTGGTCTCTTCAATCCTAGACAGTGCTATTTTTTCTCTCACGCTGGGGGCCTGCTCTCCACAGTGTGGCATTTGGTTCTCAGTTTCTTTTCTTGCTTCTTAACCATTGTTTGTTTATAGCTGACACCGGTTGCAAATGCTCTAACAAAAGACAGTAAGGCTCCTTCTCTGTATTCACAGTGCGTCGTAGAGTGTCACCTGCGGGTGGCAATGCAGACTCCTCCAGCTCACCTCGTGTCTTCATGGCTCCGTAAACCCTTACGGTTTCAGCTACGGCTTCAACCTCTGCAAATAGATTTTAGCAGTCAGGCCTCTGTGCCAGTTGGAGAAAGGGTGCCCCTCCCTTCCAGGCAGACAGGGTTCATGGCCAGGCAAAAGAACCATGGACTGAGCTTCATCTCCTGGGCTGGAGGCCCTGTACAATGACACACTTGTACCACCTGGGCTGTGGCTCCTTGCAAGAGATTATTCTCAACATGTCCCTCCTCGCTGCTCCACTCCAATGGGAAACACCTCCTACCTTGGGGAAGCTGGCATCAGACAGCTTGCTTCCCTCTTGCTGAAGGGAAGAAAAGGAACACACACACACACACACATGCACACAGACACAGACATACACCACACACACACACATGCACACAGACACACAGACATACACCACACACACACACATGCACACAGACATACACCACACACACACACACACACATGCACACAGATGTACACCACACACACACAGACACACAGACATACACCACACACACACACATGCACACAGATGTACACCACACACACACACAGACACACAGACATACACCACACACACATGCACACAGACACACAGACATACACCACACACACACACACACACACACACACGCACACAGACATACACCACACACACGCACACACACAGGATATTTGGAGGCTCTCTCCAGCCCTCTCCTCTCAATCTCACTCTCTTGCTGGGAAGGCTCAGAATACAAATTGTAATAATTCTTGGCTTTTGCTTTCTCTAAGCACGGTGTGTCCGTTTCTTCTCGGCCTTTGAGTCAAACACCTACCACCCTTTCCAATCCCTTCCTCAACCCCATCTCCTCATGTTTTCCTAGTCAGACTAGCTATTTCTTTTGGGTGCCTTCCATATTGCTCTGATCTTTTCCTGTATGCTACCAGAATGGAACTCAGACAGCCATCTCTTAGCCCCCTGCTGACAGGGCTTCATGTAGTTACCCTGTATCTGCCTGGATGCTTAATTCAACACCACTCTAAACCCCTTCCCCCAGTAATCTATTTTCAAACAGTGGTGAACAATTTTGACTTCATAAATGATTTATTTTATAAGAGCAAACACCTTCATATTTATCAATCTTTATAAGCATTTTTGTTCTCCAAATTCTTGCTTGGCATCCTTTCCAGAGATTTTATTATTATATAATAACTTCCCCAGCTTGCCAACTTAGATCTCCATAACCTACCTCTGCCTGCCTTCTCCATTTGTCCCATCAAACTTATTATCTCCTTATTGTGAAAGAGAGAAAACTCCATGTTGTCCCAACTCCTACCTGTAATCATGCTCTACCCATCCAGGCTCTTCTTAAGTCAGTCTTCTCTAGAATGAGCCCAGACTAGGCTGAACCAAATGTTTTTCTTGTGACACATATGCAACGGGTGTTTGCCTCCTCAAGAATGCAGTTTACAAGGTAAGGATTTCTTCTTCCAGTCATTCAGCCCAGCACAGTGAGGATGTATACAGCAGGCCTGTGCTCAGGTAGGGTGTATACAGCAGGCCTGTGCTCAAGGAGGGTGTATACAGCAGGCCTGTGCTCAGGTAATGTGTATACAGCAGGCCTGTGCTCGGGGAGGGTGCATACAGCAGGCCTGTGCTCAGGACCAGCCTCTCACAAGGACAGGGCAGAAATAGTTCTAAGCCCTGTTTTTCCATTCCTCTTTCCTCCCAGGTAAAGGCCCGTGACTGGAGTCAGTGAGAAGTGCCCAGAGACACAGCAGAAACTAATAAATATCTGTGGACTGAACAAGTCAGTAAGTGGCAGGAGACAAGAAAAGATGGAGGAAGAACTGGCACACACGTGTGCCACCGAATACCCTCACACCACGTGTGTGTCAGCCTAGCTGAAGGCAGTTCTGAGACGCTGCCCAGGGTATGTGGAACGAAGCCTGGCTAGTGGAAAACAGGACGAAGGGTGAGCACAGGGTTGCAGCCTCAGCTTTGGCCTCATCACCATGGGGAAGGAAGTGAAGAGAGCTCCCTGGGCCTCCCGTTCCTTGGTTTCATCATCCTGTCTGCTGGTGGCCAGCTATGAATTAACCACCAGGGTCCCTCAGTGCTTCTCAACAGTCACGTTTGCAGCTTCCTCCCCAGATGCCCAGACACCCAGGGCCCCGGCACCTCTGCCCTCCGCAGAAAGCTTTTCTTGGCTTCAGCTCTACACAGGGACCTTCACTGCCCACTGGCAGAAAAGAATTCTTGGCTGTGGAAACTGGTAAACTCCACATATTTTACAGATGAGACTAAGCTCCTGGTGACTCTAAATGTGGTGTGAAATGGACAGAAGTCATTCTGCTGATGTGACATGCCTGAAATAACATCACCTCCGCCGCCACCCCCATGCAGACACCCACGTCATGGAAAGAGACAGTCCCACAAGCCCCTGTGCCTCAGCTGCTGCTGCCTCCTGCTCCTTACCCTCAGTCCCAGGTCATTTTCTCTATTTTTCTACTTTTACATTTTTCTTTTTCTCTTTTTTCTTGTGGGTCTGCATTTTGTTTGTTTTTGAGATGCTCCATTTTTCCTGTTGGAAGACAGCCCAAGGTCACAAAGGCATAGAGGGATGTCACAGTTCTCAGCCCTGAGACCTCATGCATCCATCAGAACCCATTTCTGACTAGCTGCATTGATCCCAACCATTTATACCTGCAGAGGAGAAATGAACAGCAATCTACTGCCCCAGGGTCAGGATTGTCAGAAATGCCCTCCTGGACAAGACGGATGATAATGGACATCAGAGACAACAAGTTCCTAGAAAACAGAGAACTTGTTGATTTATTTTTGTGTTTAAAATTTTTTTGTCTGCTTTGCTTGGAATATGTAGGCAGCCCAGACCCCTAGGTTTCTAGGTTAAAAACAACCAGAGGATATTGTATCTTTCAAGTGATTGTCCTCTACCTCGAAGTCAGCTGGTTTCTTGCAGCCTCCAGCACTGCATGCATCCTCTCTGACCAAAGCCCTGCCAGTCAGGAGCGCCCTGATCATGCACACACAGGTTCCCACCGAACGATCCGCAACCGTGGGTGTGCGAGTGTGCGCGCACGTGTTTATGTGTGTGCACCCGTGTGTTTGTGGGGGACGCGTGTGTCTGCGCGCGCGGGTGTGTGGCGGGGGCGGGCTCTGAGCCCGGGGGGCAGGGCTCCGCAGCAAGAGTGGCAGCTGGACTTGCCATGCTGCTAGGGACAGGGTGCAGAGCCGCAGTGCCGTAGCAGGCAGCAAAGGCAGCCTGCCCTTCCAGCAGCCTAGCCCCTAGCAGAGGCGGAAGCCCCGGGGGCCACCAACCCTGGAAACCGCCTGATGTCCCCGCCCCAGAGAGGGCTGCACTGGGAGGACGCCCGGGCACCCGCTTCGGTCCCCTTGTGTCTCTCGGTTCCTCTTTCCTCCCAAGTAAGGGAATAAGCGGCTAAGAGGGAGCGCCCCCGGCAAGCGCGCAACCAAGTGTTGCATGGTGAGGTAAGACCGCGGACGCCGCGAAACAGGGGTCACCAGCTGGGGGGTGCGGGGGAGGAACGCGGCAGCAACTTGGAAAACCAGGGCAAAGCGAGAGCGGGTCCCGCGGCTAGGAAAGGAGCTGCAGATGAGGCCCCTGTGCCCATCCTGACAACGCCACCTGCCACAAACCCGGGCCGGAGGGGATGCGCCAGTGGACTGTGCAGGGTGGGGCCCCCTCCCTGTGCGGTCGGTCAGGACGCGAAGGTGTGTGGACAGCAGGCGGTCTTGCTTTGGGCAGTTTGCTGAAGCAACTAGTCAAATGTCTTCCTTCTAAACGTTGGCTCCAGGGTATCCAAATCGCGGTACCGGGAGCCAGAGGGCTGCGGGGAACAGGAGATGTCTTTCTGCTGCCTGATGGCCAAAGCGTCTGACAGTCCTGAGGGCTTCTGAGACTTTGGGACACTCCAAGTTCAAAGCCTCTGGGGGCGGGGTGCTTAGAGAAAAGCTGGGGGATACAGACACCTTGGCAAATAAAGGGGGAGCATCAGAGGCACCTAAAGCTGACCCGTTTCTTTTGAGTCACAAGACCTGTCTGTGTGTTTGTATCTTAATAAGGTGTGCATCCAGAATCACCTGTGGGGCCGTAGGGAGTTCAAAAACTGCACCCAACCGCCTCACCCCGCATCTTCTGATGTCCCTTTTCTCGGGACTAGTGGACTAGAATTTGAGGAGGGGACTGTAGACTTGTTTAAAAAGCCTTACAGGTGATTCTGAGGGTCTGCCACCGTTGCAGGTGACCGGGGAGAAGCAGAGCAGTTAGTCCTGCTGTGCACTTCAGGGTAGCAGAGAGACCCCTCCCTGCGTCTCCAGGGACGTCAGGAGGGTCTGCTGAGGGACGAGGTGACTTGTGACAGAACCGCAGTGGCGTTTTTGGAGTGCTGTGTGAACCATGGGCTCACTTGTCCAGGGTGCTATGTTAACTGCCTGTACCTCATTAGCATACGATGACCTCCCTATAGGGAGGAGGACCGAGGGGAGCTGTTCGTCATGCTTTCGCTTCAGGGCCTCGAGGGACCCATCATAGGTCTGGAGGTGTACAGTCACCTCCAAACATAATGAGGGGCAGACACTAGACTTCAATATCTGTGTGCCTGGGATTATTCCGTGTTTACACCACTTGCTGGGGAATAGGGCACCCTCACAATCAATGAAGAACTGAAGGGTGTCGGTTCACAGGAGCGGAATTCACACAGGCACGCGCACACACACCCTTTACAACCATGTCCTTCTCAGTCTAGGGTGCCCCTGCCATGGTAAGGTACTTCTTGCTTAAAGGGCTGTATTTGACAGGAATTTCAATTTGAATATAAATCATACTCATTAAATAAAACAGCTATAACGAAGCTAATTTCCTGTGGGGTTTCTGATCTAAGCCCCCCCCCACTGTCCCTTTAACATTAAACTCCAGCCTTCTAAGCATTATTGTTTCTGGGAGAGGTCTGGGAATGGGAAGGAAGTAGAAGAATGCTTTCAACTTTGTATGTGTGTGTGTGTGTCCATGTCCCATGTTTCTTTGTGTATATGTGCCCCTGTGTGTATTCATGTCCCATGCCTGCGTGTGTACATTGTTCCATGTTTCTGTATGCATGTGTATGTACATGCCCCATGTCTGTATGTGTACATGTATCATGTCTGTGTGTATATGCCCCATATCTCTGTGTGTACGTGTTTCATGTCTTTCTGTGGGTATATGTCCGTCGCCCCCCCCCCGTGTATATATAAATGCCATGTGTGTATGTGTGTCTGTGTCATGTCTCTGTGTGTATGTGCATGTGATGTGTGTGTGTGTGAGAGAGAGAGAGAGAGAGAGAGAGAGAGAGAGAGAGAGAGAGAGAGAGAGAGATCCTCTATCACTTTCTACCTGTTTTTAGAGGTAGTGTCACTAGACCCAGAGCTCACTGATTGAACTAGACTGGCCATCAAGCTTGGGAACCCTCGCATCTCTGCCTCCTAGTCTGGACTACAGAGGCTTTGCCCAGCTTTGTACATGGGTGTACATGGCTGGGAACTCAGACCTTCACACCCCTGCAGCAATCATTTTACCCATGAGTCACCTCCCTAGCCCCCTTCACTTTCTTTTTTTTTAATGTAGCCTTTTGTTTGATTCAATCAAAATACGAGGGGAAACAATAAACACCAGAACAGCTTGAACTGTAGGGTCTGAGAACTGCAAGAAACTCCTATGGTCATCTAGTTCAGTTTCTCCACTGCCCGCCTACCTCCTCATACAACGCCGACAGACAGCAAGGCTCCCCAAGCCCTGACCTGACCTCCTAGGAGCCCAGTCCATATGAGACTCTGTGTGAATGTCTGCCAAGGCTGGTTACAGCTCCTCCCCTGGAAGGGAAAGAGGAAGTGCTGTTTCATTGTGGGTAACAGTCTTTATATACATACACTCATACATATATATATATACATATATTTACATTATGATATACTCTTAATATAATAGTAATTCCTGCTCATTGCAGAAAATTTGGGAACTTGAAAGTGAAAAATTATCGCCTATGATTCCTGCCACCCAGATCCCACATTTTTTAAAATACATTGACATATTTCTCTTCTGTCTATTTTTATGCCTTGAAATCATACACTCCATAGAGGGCTAGCATTTGTAGGTAACCTAATAAATGTGCTTTGCATGGTGTTAATCATTTTATCTTCATTATGTCATTTAGTCCTAGGAAGTCCCTCTGAGATAGGTGTTATTATTATCAACCCCATTTTTCTAGGATGGTATAGTGTTCAGGTGACAGGCTCCAGTGGCAGAGCCACAGGGCCAACCCAAGCTCACTGACTGCCAGGTGCAGTCGCTATCGCTCCTCTGGTTTTTTTGTTTTATTTTTCCTTAATTGGTCTTGGAGTGAGCGTCCCTTGCCAACATCATTTCCCAGCTGTGTATTATTATACAGTTAGCCATTTAACTTGTGTGCTCTCCTCAGCAACTACAAATAAGTCTGGGCAAACCTTTACCATGCGCATTTCCAGTTCTTTCTTTCGGGTAGATTCCCAGAAGGAGAATTACCAAGCCAAAGGGCAAGACTATTTGGAGGTTCCTTAAGGTACACAAGAAGCCACTGACTTACACTTCCATTCCCCTAGAGGCAGCTCTACCACAGCCTGAGGAGCTAACCCTTAGCTACTCAAGGATTGTTCAGAGCTTTGCAGGACAAAGCCACATACATGAGCATTCCCAGGCTGATGGGAGAAGTCACACATGCCATCTAATTTATACACTCAAATATAGATACGGAAACGGCTTCATATAAGGCTATTCTTACTTACTGCTGTCATCTGCTGAAACAAAGTCTTACCAATGTAGACTAAGCTAACTTCAAACTCCTAGCAATCCTCCTGCCTCAGCCTCCTGAGTGATGGGATTACAGGCCTGTACCAAAAAATGCTTAGCTTTGAGACTGTGCCTAGTTTTATGTGAGTAGCTGTGGGCTACACAATTCTTTGGCTGGGTATCACATATTTGCTTGGAGCAAATAAAACTGTTGTATAAAATATATAAATGTATATGATATCCCACATCTTTATACAGTGATTATGGTAATCTTATAAACATACTTCGTCACACAGCCAGGCTCAATAGGTTCTCATAAGTCACAGCTTCTTCACATTCTGGCCAGATTCACAGAGCTATTTGTTTACATCAAGTATCGGAATCCCACAGGAAAACAATCATTACTTATAAGTAGCAGAGCTTGTCTAATCAAATAACAGCAACACAGCCCAGGAAAAAATATCAATCAAGATAACTCCGGATAAGCCCATTTTTAAGAGGTTATGGGCGGGTGAGATGGCTCAGCAGTAAAGCACCTGCTGTGGCCATGCGATAAGGGAGACGAAGTTTGCATCATACCACTAACATGAGACAGAAAGAAGCATGCAGTATGTGCCTATAATCCCAGTGCTGGAGAGATGGAGAGAGGAGGGTCCTGGGGCTGGGTGGCCAGCCAGTGAGCTGGCTACATCAGTGAGCTCTGAGTTCAGTGAGAGACCATGTCTCAAAATACAAAGTGGAGAAAGTTTGAAGAAGAGAGATTTCCAACCACACACACACATGCAAACACACACATATGCGTGCATACACATATGTATACATGTATCTATGCATGTGCATGTGCTCATGCACTCACGCACACATACACACACACACACACACACACACACCTATGTACCACATACCAAGAAGTCATCATCACAAAACTATCCTCAGGTCAAAGAAAATGTGGCTGCTAACAAAGAAACCCAGTCAGATACCACCACCACCATCACTACCACCCCACAGGAGGGCAATTTTAAAAGAAAATGAATTGGCCCTGGTCATGGGTTTTCTTTAGAATCATGTTTGCCTTGTACCTACCTCTACTACAGGCAATTGGCTCAGTAGCCCTGTGTTGTTACACATGGAATAAACATCGGTTGAGTGTCACTACGAAGTCAACTTGTGTAAGACTCAGCTCGGGTCCAGACAGATCCTTCTGAAAATCCCCCTATGGGGAAGATAGATGTCTTAGCAGCTCAGAACATGAACTTACCTTGTCATGGTGAAAAAAACTTTTTTCATGGGTCCTCACTAAGCCACGGGCTAACTGAGGGCAGAGCTATGCCTAACTTTCCGATACATCCCCAGAACCTGAGGTTTATGCCTAGGTGACAAGTAAATAGAATCTATTGAATAGATGAATGGCCACATAAGAATGTCCAGTGCACTGTTCTTTGTGCAAATTTTCCTTGCATTGTGTCTTCATTCTACTCAGGCAGTCTCGGAAAGACGCCTGAGATATGCCTAGAGGTCTGTTGTTCGCTTTCACATGCCTCTCTTCCCGTGCTCATTTAAATCTTCAGGATAAAACACCATTAGAGTTTCAGCTTAAGTGGGGCAGGCAGTTTTTGGTGCACACATCGAGGAATGTACAAAAAGAGAACCTCCTTACGTGCAAAGAGTCCAG